CCGAATAAAATATATATACATACACATTATTTATATACCGCTAAATATATTTCCTAAATATAAATATATTTCCTATAACAATGAAAGGAGGTGTATACAAAATAGCTTTTGTGCCCCATTCAATAATTAAACAAACTTATATAGCTTACCTAAATAATGAAAGTACAAGTTTTTGCTTTTATAAATTATAAGCACAACGAATTAATAGGGCTAACAAGTTTCACACTTAGCCCCTGGCTAAGACGATTCGGCATTTTGCCAACTTTGGCTTCTGACTGGAGACAAACTTTATAAAAAGTTTTATTTTAACTAGGCAGATAAGGTATGCTATTACAGGACAATAAACTTAAATAAATCATTTACAAATAATATTATTTGTATATACAAAATCCAAAAGAAAATCTTTATAGTATTTAAGAGTATTTTATTTTCATATTTGTCTATTAAGCTACTTTGAGTACACTGTACAACATGGACTCTGTCTTTCGAGCAGAATGATGATTGGGATAAGAATATTTTTAGAATTAAATTCTGAGCACGTCCCTTAAAAACGTGTACAGCTTTCACGAAAGTGCAAATTAAAAGTCAAGAAAGAATATAATTGTATATTCCGGAAAATTAAAAATCGGGGAATACCGTTTTTTTTTCTAAACTTTAATTTTAATTTAAGGCTTAAGCCAATTGAAGTAAGCTAGCACAAATTTATTAAATTTTTTAGATAAGAGTATTTGACATGCAATAAAAAATGACATTAGCAGCATTTTTAAGCATTTGTAATCTCATTTCTAAATCATAAGAGCCTTCATTAACTGTGTATAAAAATAGCCTTTCGAATAATCTCAGGTCAAGTCTTTTTAAAAAATATAAGTATATATTACACGCTATATAATGCTGCAACTCTGGTGACTACCCTCGCTGCTTGGCAGCCTGACAGTGCTGTTGCCCCACTAAATGCCCGTGGCAGTTGAACCTGTTAGCTGTTGGCACCTCCAGCCGAGCTGGCGACTAACTAATCAACGCGCTGTGACTAATTAGGCAAAGGCCGTGTGG